CCCCAAAACCCCAAAACCCCTTACGATTTAAATCTCAGAATAGAAAGGGAAATCCGGTTCAAATTATATTTAAGAAATTAAGAACTTTAGATTAAGTTCTTTTATTCAGTCGATTTTGTATTATAAACTGAATTTCAATAATCAGATCATTCCTGCTTTATTGGTTTTCTGTAACCAAGTTGTGTTTCAAATTCTAATTTGGTAGAGAGACTGATATCAAGTTTTGGCTTTTTGTTTGCGATAGAGAGTGCGTCTCTTATAGCCCAGGCATATATTTCCCATCTCTCTTTGCCCTTATCCTTGTGAGTTTCGAAAAGATACTCGTTTGGCAAAAATACTGGGAGTTCTTTCACAATACATTTGATTTAGAAGAACAATGCAACTTTTAGGATAAGAAGTTAGGTCAAGTATTTAGTGTCATGGAATGGATAGATTTAGTCTGATTTGAAATCTACGCACACAGGAAGTAAGCTTCTCTCAGCAATAAAAGCACCTCTCTTCAATGGAAGCGTAAACTTATTGTTATGAGTGGTACCCTCTGCAAAGATGCATTATAATACATAATCACCTCTTTCTTCACACAATTATTGTCTCCTCACAATGACGTCAATATTTCTCTGTCTCTCCTCCTCAGTGCCACCTCTGTTAACAAAAATCATACCTTGCCCTGTTAAACAAGTTCCAAGAATCGGGTATTTCCTCAGCGATTCCTTAGCCACAAATGTACATCCATATCTTCTAAGCATTGTCATGTTGTCAACGACGCTTGAATGGCCTGTGCCGACGATAGCTGATGGAGTGTGAGGTGGCAACTTTTGATTTTTCTTGTAATCTTTTCCAAGATATGGAGTGTAGTCGAAATCAATCTCTTCATATGTAATTTAGAGTCCAACTAAAATCAATAATGCTCTGCCAGCAAATTTTCCGACAAGCTTCGCCAAAGTTGCTCTCCAGCCGTGAACAGCATTGAAGTCATCGTATTTCTAACCTAAGGTTATCAATGACATTGATGTCCAAATTATTAAGAATGTGATGACTGCTAAAATAACTTTTGGAATTATCATTGGAGCACCAAGATAATAAATGGATTTGTTCCACTTATCGAATCTAGCAAAAGCTGGATACTATGCTTCAAGCTCAGGCTTTCTTTATCTGAGAGGTTTGGTTTTCTTCCAGGCCCACTCAATTAGCAAGACACCTATGAAGGTATTGAGTAGGAAAATTTAAATCCACATATTATTATATTAATTTAGATTCAGTGATGTGATAATACGATGCACTCTCGAATCAATATTAAGACTTTATTGTTTTCCCAATCTCTGATTATTAATAAATTTCTCAAACGGGGTTTTGGGGTTTTGGGG